CGCTAAAATTTCGTCGGAACGAAGTTACGGAAAGTTAATTAACAAACGGAGACGTAACATAACTATGAATCAATAATTTTACCTTAATTTTGTTCTTTGGACGTGCATCTGGAAAACGCCATGTAAAGTTGGCTAAACGCCGTCTTCTTTCTTCTCGTGTTTCTTCAATTTGAATATTTATTAATTAACATTTTTTTCACAACTTAAAACTTTTTAAACATAGCTTTGAGACTTTCATAGGGGTCTATAGTTTAACGTTGTGTATGCGTAGAAATGAAGAGCTCCCCAGTGGCACAGCGGTGTGTCTGCGGACTTGCAACGCTGGAAACCGGGTTTCGATACCCGTGGTGGGTAGAGCACATATATCCCTTATGTAGCTTTGTGCATAATTAAAAACAAACAAACAAGAAGTGAAGAACTGCTAATCTGATTTACGTGCTACAGTTAATGGTATTTTCATTAATGTAATCAGTTGTTTTTAAGTATACATTTAAAATTTCATTTACCTTATTTGGAGGATCTATTTCAAACATACATAATGGTTTTACAGTAAAAATTATTTTGTAACTTAAGAACTCATTTCAACGAAGCAAATGAATTCTAAATTAACTTATTGATGACATTTTTATAAACATAAAAACGACAACTAATCAATACAGGAAAAATTTAACTGAATTAAAAGCTAAATAATAATTGAAAAAAATAATAACGAAAACGATGCTTTTTGGCTTTAATATAAATGTAATGTTTAAAGAAAGATTACATTATCATACAACAACAAAAATGTGGAGCAGCTTTGAGTATCATATAAAAATAAACATACAGTAATCAGTGAAGGCTTCGCAAAAAAAAAAAACGGGGGGGGGGGAGTAACTTAAAAATTGAAACAATTTCCTGCTTTTTTTTAGCCCCGCTCCCCAGTGGCACAGAGGTATGCCTGCGGTTTAGACATATGTTCATATTACAAAATTATTTTTAGTTTGAACACTTAAATCTTAATATCGTTCTAAAAAATATATATCTAAATAATAAGCAGTTTCCGTCTTCGTGTCACGCTGTCATCAACGCCTTTTGTGGCGAGCTCGAAAACTAATAGGAATAGTTAACCTGTCGGAGGTAAATTTTAATTTCGATATATATTTAAAACTATTATCATTGGATACTTTATTAAATTAAATTATTTACGTTTTTCAATTCATGTCGTCTTCCATTTGTTTAAATTAAATTATGAAATCCATTCATCTCTCTTACTAAAAGTAAAAGTAAGACTGACCTCTTCTGAGTTATAGTGTACGATTCCTTCTTCCTGTAATTTTCATTAAACGTTCAATAATGTAATCAATAATGATCTCAGCTTGGTCACATAGTTTCCCACATTTATTACAAATATTAAAAAAGGGAATTAAGCACAAAGCTACACGATGGGCTATCTGTGCTCTGCCCACCACGGGTATCGAAACCCGGATTCTAGCGTTGTAAGTCCGCAGATATACTGCTGTGCCACTGGGGGCTCGATTTTATTAATTATCAGGATCTCTACTAGCCTACTGTCAAATTGAAATTCTTTTAGGCAGGATTAAAATAAATTAGTCTATGAGACTTTAGGCGTGTTCAAATGCATAAGTCGAAAGGGTTTGACCTACTGAGTCCCAAATTGTAATTATATCTCAAATCGATCAAGGGATGACGGAGCTATGAGCTAAAAGTATGTACTTGAAAAACTCAAAACCATTCTATGAGCCTCTATGCAGCGGCTAATAATGATGTTGTTATTATTAACAAATACCTGAAACTTTCGGCTAAATGTTTGGCTGGAGAAAGGAGCTATTTGTTGTACATTTGAATTTAGGTTAAAAACAGCACCAAAAACGTAAGTGGAGTCTTATGTACAGTACTGTATATATATTTGTATATTTTGTTTATTACAGGAAGAAATTACAAACGCTAGAAAGTTAGAAAGTGTTGATGGATAATTTACTATAAAGATATATAGTTCTTAAAAACTAAGCTCTACGAAAAAAAGATGTGAAGATTTCGACTTGTTTTCGTTGGAATTCAAGACATCTAGGGGGTAACTGGACTCAAGCATTTAATATAATGAAGGGCATTAATATATTGTGTATGGGAGGTTTGTCCATGTGGTGAAATGATAAGAATGGAAATGAGAGCTTAAAAGAGTAGTACATATAAGATATGAAAGTCCAGAGCGAGATATGTTCTTTAAGAGATTTATGTCTCTCTTTGCGTAAAACAACTTGTGAAATTATTTGATTCATGATGTAATTTATTCTGTTACTTTAAATTCCTTGAAACATTTGCTGGTGTAACTTTGGTTTTAGAAATGAGAGTATTTTATCAAAAAAAAAGAGAGAGAGAAAAGATATCCCACTGTTGAAAAATTGATGGGAACGTTTCACTCGCGTCCGTCATAAAAATGATGCCTATGTCCAAATGTCATAGCTACAAAGGATCTTTTATAGACACGTAAATTAAATACTGCTTCCCAATGAATGTTGGGATGGTCCTAGAACTAAGGTCAAGTGATATGCATTTGTCCAGCATAAGACAGCAAACCATGCTCGCCAGACTTGTGAAATACCTCTAAAATTTGATAGGTATGTGACTGCTACTTCTGAAAATAAATATTCATATTGAGACTTAATATTAAGTAGAACCAAAAGACACAAAATTTCAAAGAAATAAGCCTTCAATATTTTATATGAAAGCAGAAAAACTCATACAGCAAAGTATCTTTAGTCCAGCACCGAGGTTCGAAACCATATCCCAAGCCAATCAAGATTAATTCCCTAATCTGCAAAATGAAGAGTTTGTTTACCAAGGTATGTCCTGGTACCGTTAACAAGACAATAAAGAACATTTAGAAGTTGATGAATGCTCTCCAAAGTCACAAGATTCCAGACACGCTTTGAAATCAACAGTTGTTTTAATGAGAAAGATGGAAAAAAAACAACAACAAAAAAAAAACAAAACAAAACTGGAATCACAGCAATCTCATTTGACCTATCAAGTCTTCCGATATATTTCTGATTGACTTATGTGCCTTTAGCCTGCTTAAGAGTGCACTTAGAAGCCGTAGACCTGAGCCACAATCCAGTTTATCAAAAATGCACAAGAGAAAGGAGAACTTTCACATGGATATTCTCTGAAAAAAAATTATATTATGTAAACATTGCTGTAGAGCCATTGTTAAGAAGCAGGGGAAGCGGATAGTCTAATCTCCAGGGGTTATACTGCCTTCAGTAGTAATGTTTCAAATTTAATTATTGTTTCCAAAAAAGTATTAATGACTTTCTGCACTTTTAATTTGGGTTAGTTGTTCTCAATGGAAAAATATCTTCAGTTACCTTGTATATTCTAACTGTAACGTTATAATTCCTAGTGTAAAGATTTTTGATGTGTTAGTATTAATAAAAGAAAATTACATCTCCTTTTTTTGAATACCTAAAAAGACATGCTTATACTTTTTTTAAATACGTTTAAATCAAAATTCAGAAGATGATTCATACTTGGAAGGCTGTGGTCAGTAAATAAGTTAATGTTAATAAAAAAAAAACATTTAAAAATGATTAATTTGTGTTATCTTACAATGATGTTCATCGTACCACGTATTTGTAGTGACGGCATCTAGGGAGGACATTCATCGCCATGATGATACATTTGCTATCACAGTGTTTTGTTACAACGTGTTCACTTCCGATTGTACAGCTCTATGTTTTAATTCAATCCGTTTAAAAACTTGTTGATTGATCGATAGATTTCGGAATTTTTACTTATTACAAACCACAATGTGAATTTAATTAGTTTTTGAGGGACTTGTTCTATTTTGGATTTCAGTGCAGAAACGACAGACTATTTCCCATTTTAGCTTGTTTAACATTATCTATTGCCTTTTACATTATCTTTGAAGATTTTGAATATAAAATATTAGTTTAACATTCCAGAAATTATGCACGTCTTCCCTTCACACACGAAAATTTACCAAGGGTGATAAAATGAAACTCACTATTGTATTATATTTTAAAACATAATGTCTGACAAACAAATAAACCACTTTTGAATACAGGAGATGGAAGTGTTATGTGTTAAATTAGGTATAGACTGTGCTAAATTCCAACAACAAAGAGAAACAATTTCCGTGAAAATACAAAAGTCATTCCTTTGAATCTCATCAAGAACTTCAAGCTGGAAATAGTGCTATTGCTAGATGGATGCACTTGGTCAAGGTTTCAGGAAATAAGAGAATATTGAGGCAAAACATTTTTAGAATTCACCCTCTCTCACTCTCCTCGAACGAAAATAAAATATTATGCTTTCTGAAAGTTACTATCTCGTATATATATACAATCTGTAAGTAAGCCCGGTATATTTCATGAAGGATCCCCTCTAAAGCGCAGCAAACATTAGTTTTCAAACTACATAACTGTGGTTTTAATTAACGAATCTAAATAATATAACTTTATTAGTATTTTGACTTACTTTATTTACAGTTTTTTTCGACTCAGTTGTTGATTTTGAGTTAACATATAATGAATAGATGAAAAATTACAAATTTCAATCAATTGTTAAAAGGGTCTAAGTGTTTTCGATTTGCACCAGAATTCCAGACGTTTGGCAACAGGCCTAGCAAAAAAACTGTATTTTCGTATGAAAGTTATGTTCCTAAGGGACTTCAGTCTGTAACAAAACCTCCTATATCTCTTACAAGTTTGTTAAACTCATAAGTTTAATTTCGAGCAGCTGAATTATGTCTTTTATTGAATTATGATGTGTACAGAAGTAAATTTTTGGATGGCAGTACTCAGTATTTCTGTAGAGCGAGTGCAATAATATTTACACGTACGCACATAATTCCCTAACCTACTCGTGACATTTCAAGTTTTTCTATAACTTACAACATAGTAAGTACTGTAAAAAAAAAGAAGGTAAAATAGTAATATACTTATTATTTATAATTTGATACAAATAATCTTATGCTGGTACTCCAGACAATCACTGAAATTATTTCTGGTACTGGTGCCGGATGAAATTCATCTCTGGGTATCATCACCGTAATCACCGCCAATATTCTACCGAAGTCAAACTTGAGTTTTAAGCTATATCTCCCAATCATGTGTGTGTGAGTAAGTAAGCGGCCCTGCTGTGTATTTGGAAAGAACAAAATTTATAGTACCAAATTAAACTTTACTCTATGAATTAAGGAAGTATCGAAATTGTAGTAATTTCTTTTTCCTCCAATCTTTCGACACAATAAAACATATTTCGTGTTTGTTTGGCTTAGAAATATAAATTATATATACATTCTAAACGAAAATGAAATTTTTATTTCAAATGATTTTTAAAACATGGCCCGGCGTGGTTAGTGGTGACCGTGAATCTCATGATTGAGGCCGTTTGTGCGCTAGAAGAGTAACCGTAACCATGTAATTCCACTATTCGGTCAGACAATAGTACGTACCCTCAAGAGTTGGCGGTGGATGCTTTTCCTCAAGTCTATCAGCTTAGAATTGGGGACAGCTATACCCAGATAGTTCTTTTCGCAACCTTGTACGAAAATTCTTAAATGATCAGACCACTTATTATCTTAGAACTATACTTTACTCTTTAGCTCTTTTGAACTTAACAAATTATTTGCTCGATAATAGCTTCAACTGTGTAGGATTAATTATTCACCATCGCGGTTTTTCTTGCCCAGTTAGATGACCTGCATTGTGTCTGGAACTAAAATAATGGCCTTGAACGTTCGTGCCCAGGGTCAGATTTTCCGGTCTCCTTTAGTTGGTGGCCCAGTGCCCTCCTATGCCGTATGCCTCATAATATTGGCGGTGGATTCTTCCGGGTTGTTACATACGTTCACAAGAACGTACGGTCAGCTCAGATTTGGAGAGAGAGGGAGCACGTGTGTGACCGTGCAATTGCATGTTTTAGGAGCTTGAATATTCAGCGAAATGCAAATCATTTTCTTAGCATTATGGAAGAAAAATTGAAATTTAAGTTTAAAAATTTTAAGCGAATGGAGATGAATTAATAAGAACAGAGTTCTTGCCTAAAATTTATAAATGTTCTTGGCAATTCACTACACTCGCTATGATATCTGTTTTATAGTTATATATATTTCGATCCTATCTAAAAAAAATCACAAATTCCTAAAATTAGATATATATTTGATATTAAGATTAACAGCTTTTTTACGCACAAATTAAGCAAAAAAAAAAAAAACACACACACAAATTAACTAAAAATCAATTTACAAAAAATATACATTTAATTACCCGACTAGTTTCGACGTACCGAAGTCCGCGTGTATCTTTTTCAAGAATATACAGAGTGGTGCATCGAAACTAGCCGAGTAATTAAGAGTGAATTTGCTTTTTAATTAATTGGTGCTTTTAAAAGCCGTGGATTTTAATATAATTCGTGGATATCACAAAGTATTTCATGACTTGATTATATGTATATGCAGATAGATTTCACGATAATAGAAACATGCAGAATTGAGGAAAAACAAGACAATTGTACATTTCACAAACACACCATTTATTCACGACCATGGTTTCGCCAGTAAAGGCATCATTCATGGTTGTGAATAAATGGTGTATTTATGAAAACACAATTGTCTTGTTTCTCTAAATTCTGGAAATTATGGAGTTTTACCACGTTCCGACGGTTTCAAGTATCATAGAAACATGCATATAATGTTCTTTGATTTCTAAATTAAAAATTTATAATAGATAAATAAACACAAGTTTTTCATAGAAAATACCATGATTTTATTCGAAATAAAACTAAGTTCATCTCGTATGTACACCAAAAAACAGATCATATTCCTGAGATATGGTGTCATGCGCCAAAAAACAACACTGGAAACAGAACTATTACCCGCTAAAGGCCTCGCTCGCAGCGCACATGTCAGCTCAATTGAGTGTATAATATAAACGTTAGAACAAAACTCTACATCAACACATACACAAAATTTACATTGTAAAATCACACGATGTTTCTAAGTTATCTTCATGTGTACTGTAAACCACATTGCTAAAGCTACTGTATATCTGAATACATGTAAACAAGAAGCTGCTTTCTTACCATGTCTTCTAGAGCCAAACGTTTAGTGAAAAAAAAAAAAAGATAATGTTTCAAACATTTGATTACCAGGCAATAAATATAAATCTATAAATTACAATGAAATATGGGAATGAACAATAAAATAAAGTGTTTTCTTTTTGTTTTGGACGAGTTTAACCATAGAAAATAATGAGTTGTTATATCCTTTCACTAAGGACTTAACTTTTTTTTAGCTTATTTCAGAAATCGGTACATAGTTTATATGTAACTTTCAATGGCCAATGGGTAAGCCAACCCTTATAAACTCAGGGTTATCATAAGCTATCACCTTCTCGTCACATGGTGACTTGGACGCTGTTAATTGGCGTACTCGTAGGAAAAGGAACGCAGCCACCAGAGTAGACACAACAAGCAACAATAAAAGAATTATCACCCCTGCAGCAAATCCTGGAACAGACATACATATAGCATTATTCCCAAAGTCTGTGGGGTGAGAATACACATCCACCACACTTTCATTGTCTGCGGTGAAAGGGAGGTTGAAAGCCACATCACCAGGTGCTACTACTTGAATTGTACGGTGAGTTTGTATGTCTTTGGCGTCCTGAGCCTGCCGTTTCCGTCTGGATTCAACATCATTGGATCTCGGAGAGGCTTCACTAGAGCGAGGTATGCCTCGAATTCCGGAAACGGCGTAACTTCCAATAACACTGACGTTTTTCTCTTTGTTAGGCAAATCGCCATTTCGATTAAAGAAAACTTTAGGAAATTTAGCCTCAGAGGGCTCACCGTAGTTTTCGTTGGGTCCCCTACCAACTGGAAGAGGCTGATTTGGCTGAGGTCCATTTTCAGTATAAGTAGCTTTTGGTTCAGAGTAGCCGAAAGAAGGATCACGAGGAGCTGGAAGATAGTCGCCACCAAGACTTCCTCCACACTGTGGGATTGGACATTCATACCTACATACCTGGATTACGCACTCGAAGTGGACGTTCATAGAGTCTGGAAACTTGAAAGCTTGGAAATAAGCATATGATACAACCGATGCAGATGATCCAAAATTTTTTACTTTCTGGAATGGGCTCATGATCTTTGGTCTGACTACACATCCATATTCATCAACTAATTGAATAGGTTGATTCTTATCATCGTGGGCAATACAGTTTCTTACCAACATATCAAATTTGTGTTCTTCATCTTTGATGGCAAGAACCATGGTCATAGTCTGGCCAATCTTAACTATGCCAGATATTTCATTAGCCCACGGCCCCTTGCCTACTTGGATTTGCATCCAACATTGAATGTTATCTCCCAGAAAGTTAGCAGTCACAGCATCAAGCATGTCTACATTGAATGGTCTGAAAGTCACAGCCTTTTCATAGAAGTCATACCACGTACAGCGTAGTCTGCGGGCCTGGTCCCAAATTTCTTGAAGTTGAGGATCGTACTGGATAATTATAGTATTTTCGATGAATAATCCATCACCGTAACCACCTTGGCCACCACCACCGTAACCCGCCACAGCTTTCTGTTGCTGGCTGCTGGACATTCCACATTTTCCTAGGTAAATTTCGAAATTTACAAGAACATTCCCAGTGCCAGGTGGTAAGTGAACACAATTGTGGTCACTGTAGTGACCTTTACTAAAGATCATGCCAAAGAAAGGGCGATCAAACTCCATATTAACTTGCATGTGGTTTTTCTCACATTTGACATTTAAGTTTTTAATTTGTGGCATGTCTGGTCTCCCAGCAGGCCAGGTATCATGTAAATCTCCGATACCTGGAACTGAGGCCGGTCCTGGCCCATACCCTGGACCGCCTCCAAATACCGGTCCTCCGACTGGTGGTCCAGGATAAGATCGGTGTTCTGCCGGTAGGTTGACAGATTCTTCTTTCTTATTGTCCTGGTTGCTGTCTATTTCCTTAGTCAACACCTAAGAAAACATATATATTTTTTAGAAACGCACACATATATATATATATATTTATATGCACCACATTTGATACCATTTCTGTTAATATTTGATAATTTATACACATAACAACAAATCATTAGTAAACCGAACAACTATCGATAATTCACAGGGCTGTAGGAAGCGGTAAGGTCAGTCAGACCATGGCCTGACCATTTTTTCATGGGATGTAAAGCTACAACATATGTATTAAAACTTTTTTCTTTTGATTCAATACATTACGAGCCCCCAGTAGCACAGCGGTATGTCTGCGGACTTATGACGCTAGAATCCGGGTTTCGATACCCGTGGTGGGCAGAGCACAGCTAGCCCATTGTGTAGCTTTGTGCTTAATTACAAACAATCAATACATTACGTTGTGTGTATGTAGTATTTGTAGTTAAAATGGCTCAAAATTCAATCTCATAGCATTAAAGTTTGAAAAATTTTCGGGGGGGGGGGCATGCCCCAGACCCTTTCTAGAAACTGCAATGTGCCAATGACCTGAAGCTCCCAAAATAATTTCCTACGGCAATAATTCATAGAATAATATATATTAAAAGAAAACACGTTATACTGCTCAGAAAATCGTACACAGAAACAGTATTTTAAACGTACTTTTCATAAAAAAGTATTTTCTAAATTCCTTATATAGGGCAGTGTTTCGATATTTTTCAATACAATTCAAATCTTCGGTTGAATCATAACACTTCAAGTCATAAACATTATTATATTTGTTCTTGAATTCAGCTTCATAGTAACATGTTTGTGTTTCAAGCTGTCAATTAATGAAGCGTCCCTCATATCTCAAACACCAAACCTTGTCAAGCATCTAACTTTTAAGAGATAAAATACAGCTTTCTTTCAGAAAATGAAATTTTGATATATATTTTTTTTATTATTGTTCTGAGAGTGGTGAACTAATATTTAATCAAAATACGAGCTATACGTATCCAATAAAAATATTAATCATACGCTCAACGTTTCAATTTTCAGCCCCAAAGTATAGAGCTCGTTTCTACGGAAAAAGGACTCGGATCATAAACTTTTGGCTTCACAGTCCAAAAACATTAATCACAAGGCTACTTCTAGCCCGATTAGTGCGACAGTTAAATTACTTGTTATTTGAACTTAAGTGGGTATTAAGATATTTGCCCAAGCTTTGAGTTAAAATATGGCGCCCTCCAGTGGCACAGCGGAATGTCTGCGGACTTAACAACGCTAGAATCCGGGTTTCGACACCCGTGGTGAGCAGAGCACAGATAGCCCATCGTGTAGCTTTGTGTGTTTAATTACAAATAAATAAACAAACTTTATTTAAATATCTTGATTAAGTTTGTTTGTAATTAAGCATAAAGCTACGCAATGGGCTATCTGTGCTCTGTCCACTTCGGGTATCGAAACCCGGATTCTAGCGTTGTAAGTCCGCAGACATACCGCTGTGCCACTGGTGGGCATTTAAATAAAGACTGAAACTTTCCATTTATCAATAAATCTTAGGGAGGGAAGACAATAACAGCTAGTTGTAATTTAGCTCTGCCAGGATGTATAGCATCTCTTTTAAATTTTAAAACACAAAAGTTAGGGCACTGAAATTTTCTAAACAAGGTTCCATGTCATGACTTTAATAACAGTTTAAGTTAAGAAAAAGTTATATCAAGAATGAGAGCTATATTTATTCCGCGTTATTTTAGCGCAAAGCTACACAATGGCTAAGTTGTACTCTGTCCACTGTAGGGAATCGAACCCCGGATTTTAGAATTCTAAGTCTGTATATTTACCGCTGGCCCACTGGGAGACACCTCGCGTTAGAAACCCAGAACACCAATATAAATCCGGACTTGAAAGCCAAGCTTGTATGTTCGAACCTTCGTATTTACAGAATTTTCCAAATGGAAGTTGTTACAAAACCAAGACGTATTCATACAATCCATATTTTAGGCGAGGATTTACAAATTGTTTCGACCAATAGTTTTGCTTATTCTTCTTGGAAGGCAAAGTCTTAATACGATATAAACAGTTTGTTTGCTTGTTGAATTTCGCGCAAAACTACTCGAGGGCTATCTGCAATAGCCGTCTCTAATTTAGTAGTGATATACTAGAGGGAAAGCAGCTATTCAGCAGCACCCATCGTCAATTCTTGGGTTAGTCTTTGTTAAAGGAAAATGGGATTGACCGTCACATTATTGACAGCTGATGTTGGGTGACGGGATTCGAACTCGCAACTTGCAGTCGAGCGCCCTAACAACCAGATCATGCCAACCCCTAATATAAAGAGATTATTGTGCCATACCATCTGTTTATGTTATGAAAACGAGTTTGCATGTTTTTAATGATTTATTGAATATTTTGCCACGTTATATGGATATATAAAACTTTGGCAGTTTTTGTTTTTTCGTTTCCTGCCGCATAACATTTTGTTCAATGACATATCTTAATATTAAAATAAAAATATAAAAAAAGTATTATTAACTTCTATGAAACATTTGAGTGGACGCACTTTTTTCAATTTCCAAATAGTCTTGTAGAATCCTCCTTTTATCGCTTGTGACATATATATCTAATTTATTCTAATTAACTTGTATAGGATATACAATCCTATAATTTTTTTTTCAGTTTTGTTCACACAATATTTGCTTGTTTTAATGTATAATGCTCTAGAAGTCGCGTATACGACTTCATATTTACAGGCTAGTTGGTTTTTCATGGCAGTGTCAAGTCACTGGTAACTACTGTTCACCATCGTTATAACCTAATCTCCTTCGCCCCCATAGTCAAATGATGTGGGTTCCGCAAGAAGAATATAAAACATCTCCCAGATCCCATTGAAATTACTACCACTATGGACATACCCTGTTCGACGTGTTCGAAAAACTTGCCTAACTGCAGTGTGCCAGAGGGTAAAGAAGGAACCCGGAAACTGGGCACAATAAAAGACAATATCATTTGCTGGCGCTGAAAGGTTTCTTTACCAACTCCGTGACAAATCAAAATCAATAATAGTCACATTAATTTTGGAGTCTAACTCGGTCATAATGATATAATTGTGTTTATTGTACTAAAAACTACTTGACGTGAAGATCGTAGTAATGACACCGTTGATTTTTAAATTAGTGTTGTCTCTGAGTGTAATAAAGTGTATTCAAGTTTGATTGTTAAATATTGTCTCTGAGTGTAATAAAGTGTGTTCAAGCTTGATTATCAAATATACTTTGTTATAGTTATAACTTATACAAAACTGAATGTAATAAAGTGTGTTCAAGCTTGATTATTAAATATTGTCTCTGAGTGTAATAAAGTGTGTTGAAGCCTGATTATTAAATACTGTCTCTGAGTGTAATAAAGTGTGTTCAAGCTTGATCATTAAATATTGTCTCTGAGTGTAATAAAGTGTGTTGAAGCTTGATTATTAGACATTGTCTCTGAGTGTAATAAAGTGTATTCAGGTTTGATTGTTAAATATTGTCTATGAGTGTTATAAAGTGTGTTCAAGCGTGATTATTAAATATTGTCTTTGAGTGTAATAATGTATGTTCAAGCTTGATTATTAAATATTGTCTCTGAGTGTAATAAAGCGTGTTCAAGCTTGATTATTAGACATTGTCTCTGAGTGTAATAAAGTGTATTCAGGTTTGATTGTTAAATATTGTCTATGAGTGTTATAAAGTGTGTTCAAGCTTGATTATTAAATATTTTCTTTGAGTGTAATAAAGTGTGTTCAAGCTTGATTATTAAATATTGTCTCTGAGTGTAATAAAGTGTGTTCAAGTTTGATTGTTAAATATTGTCTCTGAGTGTTATAAAGTGTGTTCAAGCTTGATTATTAAATATTGTCTTTGAGTGTAATAAAGTGTGTTCAAGCTTGATTATTAAATATTGTATTTGAGTGTAATAAAGTGTGTTCAAGCTTGATTATTAAATATTGTATTTGAGTGTAATAAAGTGTGTTCAAGCTTGATTATTAAATATTGTCTTTGAGTGTAATAAAGTGTGTTCAAGCTTGATTATTAAATATTGTATTTGAGTGTAATAAAGTGTATTCAAGTTTGATTGTTAAATATTGTCTCTGAGTGTAATAAAGTGTGTTGAAGCCTGATTATTAAATATTGTCTCTGAATGTAATAAAGTGTGTTCAAGCTTGATTATTAAATATTGTCTCTGAGTGTAATAAAGTGTGTTGAGACCTGATTATTAGACATTGTCTCTGAGTGTAATAAAGTGTGTTCAAGCTTGATTATTAGATATTGTCTTTGAGTGTAATAAAGTGTGTTCAAGCTTGATTATTAAATATTGTCTTTGAGTGTAATAAAGTGTGTTCAAGCTTGATTTTTAAATATACTTTGTTATAGTTATAACTTGTACAAAACTTAACATATAAAAAGATAATTTACATAAGAATAAAAAATACGTTTTGTTTAATACTAGCACCAATTATAAAAACAAGAACTATGATAATCACTCTACAAAGTAAGATTTAATTGTTCTACTAGAACAGCCTAAAAAAGTAATTAATAGATATAATCCCAATTTCGAGCGTATTATCCCGCAAACGTCCTACTAATCATCAAAAGTATTAATGAAAACAGGCCAGGCTCGCCCTTTCAGCCGTGTGACAGTCAATCCCTCTATTCGTTGATAAAATAGTAATCCTAGAGTGGGTGGTGATGACTAGCTGCCTTTCCTCTAGTCTTTCACTGCTAAATTAGGGACAGCTAGCGCAGATAACCCTCGTGTAGCTTTGCATGAAATTCAAGCTTTATGAACTCAGACTCGACTTAGGTTTCAATTTGTTGTTTTTGAATTATTTACAAATGGGCAACTATTATATTATTTTTTTATTTTCAATTAAGAGGGAGAGGTGATTTTCAACTTCCGACGAGCCCTCGTATTTTTTAATGTTAATATATCGACCGAATTTGTTGAGCTCGTTCCTAAAGTGTGGTTACTGCCTGACCAAATTTCCAGACCTTGTTTTTAAAATGTGTTTACTGCGCGAACGAACTTCCAAAATGTGATTTTTTACGCGACTGTTCAACGAAAATTTGAATAACGTCTGTTTCAGACCACGTTGTTGCTGAATTCACGGTAAAGTTTCCGCCAGTTATGAAGACTGGTATTTATTTCACTGTCCATAGACTGCTATAATATAGAATATTCAGTGCCATAGTTATACGTTGTTTATATTAATGTAGTTAAAGACAGCATAACACCACCAATGATCCAATTGTAAAATAAATAATATAGGGCTTGAAAAAAACCTGTTCTCTAAATATTATATAAAAAACGTTTAGGCTTAATCTCTGAATAACAACTTAACCATGAATTGAGGAAAAACTTTAAGTGTTCTTTAAATAGCAGTGAAAATTTAATTACTTACAAAATAATAAAAGAAAACAATACAAGTTTACTTACGTTGATGAAAAAAAAAGAAAAGATGAGAAGAACAGTAGCTTTGTGTTCCATGTCTGTTGTTTCGCTTCAGGAATTACAGGAACTCAATTGATCTCTGAAAAATAATAATAATTTATTTCATTATGACATGAAACATCTACAGCAACCGACCATCAAAGATGCATTTGTTTTTTTCATATAAATAAACTAGCAAACTATATTATGTTACGAAAAGGTGTACAATAAAATTCCTTGAATCATTTCTAGTTAGTAAGAAAGTAGAATATGGGTTTTCATACTTTGTCGTTTGATATCGCTCAGTAATAAAGCGTCATCTGCCGGTAAGTAAAATGCTGGTTAGAAGATAATAAAGGCCCTTTAATAAAAAGTAGAAGTTGAGACGAGATTTTTCGTTATCTCCTTGATCGAGCTTTTTAAAATGTATATTTTTTGAGAGAATCAATATGTTTAATTTTTTACGTTACTTACGTATAGCATAAAATATTAGCTATATAGTAGTTAAAAACTGTTAACATGACTAATCCGCTGTGCTCTTCCTCAGTGAGGGAGGTGTGTAATTTTCGTGATCTTTCGTTACTCATATTACAGAAACTCGCTTTTGTAAACTAGAAGCTGCTTTAAACATGAATAAAAATATAGTGGATTCATCTGTAGAAACCATTTGTTGGTTAATTTTAGAGCAAAGCCACATTGGGCTATCTACTATGCTCACCGCGGAGAATCGAACCCTGTATTTTAGCATCGTAAGTCCAAAAACGTACGGCTGTCCCACCAGGGGCCATCTGTACAAATACACAGACCAAAATTAAAGAAACACAGCTGACACTTACGTCACTCGAAGTTGAACGAAGCGTAAAAAAGTCATACAATATAGAATTATAATACTTTGTAACTGAAAATAACCAGTTTTTGTGTTGAAAGCACACTTTCTCTATAATATGTTTCTAAATTGGTAAATAACTAAAGAGTTTTTTCGTTATTGCACTCTTCTACTTGTCATGAAATTAATTTTAGATAAAAATAATTATTGCATTAGGTTAAGAGTTAAAAACGACAACCGAAACGTTGTAGAAAGTTAGAACCAAATAAACTTCGGTTATCAAATATTTTAAAATGTGATTTATTTGTGAGGGTCCCCCAGTGGAATAACAATAACTCTACAGACTTACAACGCTACAACTCGGGGTTCGATTCCCCGTGGTGGACATGGCAGATAGCCCAGTGTGGCTCTTTTCTAAAACAAAATATTTTTCAGGCAGAGAGATAAGCCTTTTCTCGGGCACATAGTGATACTTTTCTACAATTACTGGGCTTGTTGAGGTTACTGATTTTCCAAAATGCAAATGGTTAGTTAAGTTTCACCAAGGAAGTACCGAAAAAAGACCACGCAGTAATCAACATACTAACAGTAGAGAAACACATAGCTGACACACCGCTCGAAACTGTACAAAGAGCAGTAAGCTATACAGATCAAAATCATAGTGACATAAACATGAATCGTAGCACCACATAAGCCCATCTATTGCTATGAAGCATTGAAGCATAAATTGACAAATAATTCTCATGAGCGTATGTGAGTAATATTAGACTATTTACTAACTGAATTAATGGCTTAAATTACTATAAATGTTTGGTTGGGAACTTTTTTTAAACTCAAAATACCCAGCTACGATATATATATATATATCTTGACAAAATGATAGAACTTAACTTTAAAACTGCATCTAAATAATATCAAAGGTAACAATATTCTTAAATGAACATTACAGAGTTGACAGATTAAGTAATTCAAAATATTTTTAATTCAGATACTGAAAAAATATTGTAAGGAAAACTAATGATGTCAAACACATGGTTTAAAAATATATTAAGTAATATACAAACATTTTTTTGCTTTAATACTTCTGAAAAACTATCACAAAACATTTAATAATTGACTGGCAAGGTACTTTGTAATCCTTGCTTATTCAGTTACTGTTCCTTATAAAAAAAATGCATGCTATGATAGGCAAGAATATTTACTAATCTGTCATCCAGGTAAATCACTGTTCACTACATAACACATGTTTTACGTATAGGCGATGCATCGGTCTTGATAACTCGAGAAATAATAGAACCTACACCAAAAGTAGTTTATTAACCAACATCACACTTTAGACTTCGTTTGTTTATTTTGGTATTTTCGCGTACGGTTACTCAAATTATCTGAGGAAAGAGATTTAGTTAACAACACCCAGCGCTACCTCTTGGGCTACTCTTGTTTAACTGAATAATGGGGACAACGGTATGTCTACGAACTTACAAAGCTCAAATACGGGGTTCGATTCCCCGCGGTGGACACAGAAGATAGTCCCATAAGGCTTTGCTCTGAAATAAGCAAACAAACAAAATGAATAATGAGATTTGACCGTCACTCTTATAATGCACCCATGGCTCCAAAGTGTAAAGAGCGATTTTACGGTAAAATATGTCGTGAACCGTTGAGCTTCGGATTCAAAATAAGGAAACGCTAACCACTTGGCCATCCTCAGTTCTATTTTAAGCTAAATTTTTGATCCAAGTTTTCATATTTTAACTAATATAAAACCATTGTACGTCCGTGTTGCCAGCTGCAGTTCTTGACTTTACTTAATGACTTAATTCTTGATTTTTGTTGTTAGTAGTCGAAAAACAATACCAAACGATTTGTTTGTTTATGCCATCATATGATTTAAGTCTAAATTAAATGGCACGCGTTTAAATAGGTGCTATTCTACAAAATTTAGTGTGCAGGTAATATATATATAGCGTGATGGGAGCAAAATATTTACACCCGAAACATAGGAAAACTCTGACGTCATCTTCGTAAACTTATGCCGTGGGTCATGTGCGCCGTGTCAAAATTTCATCTCGAGGCAATCTGAAGAAACGCAAATTAATAATCGTTTTGACAGAATGAAGAACTGAACTAGAAAGAGGTCTTTAAGGCGCTAGTTTACTTCTGGGTATACGCTAGGAAAACGTCTATTTACCGTGATACGTTGGGTGACGTTTTTGTTCATCTTGTCACGTTCTGTGCTGCTGCTTATAATAAACACGTACACCTATCGTTCGATAGATATGATCTGATAAATAACAACAATTGTTAGCTATATTTTTTATTATATAACGTTATTTTTAGGTAGTACCGTAGATGCCGCACTTACAACAAACAGTCAAAATTATTTTATTCTGCAGCGGGGTGCCAGTTTTAGTACGTATAGTTAACATTATAATATTCCATAGGCGAGTTCCAACCTTATTACAAATAGTAAACATTATTGTATTCTGTAGGTGAGTGTGTGTGAGAACTCATAGAGATAGAACAGATATCT